ATGATGTTCGTCGGCGTTCCTAACCTCTTCTACTATCTATTTTGCAGTATTAGTTGGATAAGTTGGTATTTATCATTATGCATCATATGCCCAAGGTTTTTTTTTCTCACTTTCACACTATGTATAATTTTTAGTTCTTTTTGTATTCGTTGGATTATGGTGTTGTTTGTGACATGATAAGTATATGAAATCCTGAGCATGCGGCGATAGCACCACATTTCAAAGGCTTCCAAGTGTTTAGATGTAGCATCTGTCAAGGTCCAATCTTCCACTCCATGTAGGAGCGTGGAAAATACGTAGCACCTTAGGACCTGTGTTCTTATAGCAATATTCAGGTGCATATTGCATAGGATCTTTCTTTTTCTATGCGGCATCTAATCTCTCGTGAGTGATCATTTTCAGTGATCAGGCTGCAGTCCAAATACGTGATGGTATCTGCTGTTTCCAAGGTTTCCTTATTGGTCCTAAACTGGTGGTATTGCTGCTACTATAATAGTAGTAACTCGGAAAGATATTTTTTCAGAAAAAAATAAATTTTACCTTACTAATGAAAACCGAAAAAAACATAAACGTTGTTTGTGGGATCTAAATATACCTCCTCTAAACATATTTACCGTTTATGACCCCTGTATATATTTTTCCATAAATACCGATAATAAAAGTTAAAAACTTAAATCATAATTTCAGTTGCCTCTCCTTTTTTTGCCATGTACCATTGGTCGAAGTTTTAATAACGACATTTTCGAAAATGTATTAATTATTTCCATTCCGAAATCTCATTAAGTCAGCACTAATGAAATAATAGCGTTTAGGCGACTCGCCCCGAAAAGGTTTAGCGAGCCAGCTATGCGTGAAATCGGTTGAGAAAGCAGAAACTAATGCAGGCAGTTTAACAATTAGGCTCGTCGAGTTGGGCCCTTTGTTCCCCGGATTTAAAGCCGGCGCGCCGTGAAAGTCGCCGGCCATTATGTGTGTGCGGAAACTTTCAGCGCGGCCCGGTCGCCCTTCTTATTGTCGAAGTCGTCGCCCTCCAACGGTTAAAGTTAAAAATGTGCAGTAATGACACTTGGGGGACTCCTTTATGGATGGAGGACTATGGCGGACCCTTTTTCGGTAAAAAAGATATGATTATTACAAGCCTCTAATAATATAAGTCAATAATGTATGACCTATCAATTTTTCAAATTTTGAAGCACCTACGATTAACAGCATCATTGCATTAGGCAAATTAAAAAGACTCAGGGCAAAAACACGTACAAAATTCACCACAGAACTTTAAAACGCTGATGACTGCGCTCTAGTTGCAAACACGTTACAACAATACCTGGGCATACGAGGCTTTGAGCCTTAAGCTAAACATCGACAATACCAAAATCATGTGCACCCCCTGGAAGATAACAACAATGCTATAAAATTCGGAGAAGAACTACTGGGTTTCGAAAACGACCAATATCGACTCTGAAATCCAGCACAGGATTAGCAGTGCCTCAAGAGCATTCTGAAAATTAAAAGACAGGGTTCTCTACAATCATGACTTGAGTACAAAAACGAAACTTGCAGTGTACCGAGTAATTATAATCCCCAGCATATTATATGGGAGCAAAACCTGGGTGCCGCACAGTAGGCAATATGTCCAAACCAAGTTGCAAAAAATAACATCCACAGTTAGCATTTATGACAATAACATTAGATTGGAAACATATTAGTTAAGAGGAAATCACATAAAACTAACAAAAAAACATATTCGGAGTCTCTTTCGAGGGGCTGTAAAACGAACTTTGCGCAAAACCTACATTTTCAGTAAATTTGTGTCCAATAACTGCCTTTTTTCTACAATTTTTTAAATAGTAGGCGTTGCATTCAAGTGACACAGTATTATAACAATTGAATCGGACGACCTTAGCTTCTGTCAATAATTATTGTGAAATTGTCATAACGTGTTTTACGTAGATTCCCGGTTGCCGTAAATTTAATGTCAAGGTAAGTAAAAAAGTATCTTTTATTTTGATTTTTTGGATAAAAACTAGGTAAAGGTCAAAGTAGAACATAATCATTTAAGGGTTTTTTGATAGTGGCCTATATTCTGTCTTAGAAAAGTTGAGTCAAAAAAATCGCAAAAAATCGCAACATTAAATTTATTGGAAGCGTAAGTCTCCATGCGTATGTGTATAGTAAGATCCTTTATGTGGACACTTCTCATAAATTAATTATTATAGTAGCTAGAGAAGAACTTGAAATATAAAGTTACGTATTTTTTCTCAAGATTTCCGAAGAGGTATGTCATAAATGTCAAATGACATTTTTTGACAAATTGACAAATTTTGACAGTACCAAATTTTTTAAATTAAATGAAATGGATTTTTCTTTCAGATTTAAAAATGTGCACTTCGTGACCATTGCATCCAGCTGTTATAAAACAAAATATCAGTAAATAGTAAATGGTAAAATAAAATTTAGATATTTTTAATAGGTATAAGTTCTGTTATTTTCTAAATCGTCATTGTTTAATTCTCAGAATATGGTTACTTATTTAAAATATAATAATAAATATTGTTCACATATTGTCTGGTATTATTAGAGACCCAACTTATTGAAATGACAAACAATCTTGAATAGATTGGATTAGTATACTCAGGGTTTTCTTTTATACATTGACACCCCCTTTATCTTTTTTATTTGACGTTTCCGAAAACTGTCTCAAATGAAGGTGGTTTTGAATAAATTTGCCAAAAAAAAGTCTATTTTGCATATACAAAGTGCTTCAAAAAGTCTGGGCATGGTTCAACTTTCTTATTTCAAATTAGGTATAGAAGAATATATAAACAAGGGTATAGGCTATGCTACATAAAAGTAGTTAGGATTTTTAGGAGAAAATAAAAATCAAATAAGAAATTGGGTACTAATTTGAAATAAGAAAGTTGGGCCACGCACTGGATTTCTAAGGCACCCTGTATATGCAAAGAAGACTGTTTTGAAAAATGTATTCGAGACCATTGAACTTTTATTCAAGACACTTTTTTCGAAAACGTCGAATAAAAAAGATACAGAGGATGTCAATATATAAAACAAACCCTGTATATGCCGGAGGAGTAATAATTGCTCAATATTTGTCTGTTTCATCTTGGCTCTGCCAAAAATCGTAAAATTTAGTGAAATATAAAATATTCTTACCGCCTCTTGGTAGCTGTATTAGTCAATAGATGATTTTTCCCATTTTATGAATCCCCCCCACCACCCCCAGCCACTCTCAAGTCAGCCAAAACTAACTGGGTTCACGGGCTACTAGCATAGAATGTTTTTACCAAATTTGAATGAAATCGTACAAAAAAAGAATTTTTGCAACATACTTCTGGATTTTTGCCCACTGTGTGCCGTACCGCCAACACATGAACGCATTAAACAAATTGCAACAGAGAGATGATAAAGACACCTAGACAACTCTTAAGAATCCGATGCTGTTCCATCATGTCTCAAACGTATCGGTTCTTGAAAAAGCTAACTAGGAGAGTATTGAAGTCATGGTTACAATATATTATAACCACAGGGTATTTAATGTATTATTATTTTTTTAATTTTTTGCCAAAAACTTACTCAGACAAGTTGATCAGACTGGATTTACGACTCCGCATTTAATGTTATTGTTCTTACCACACTTGATTGTCTTAATCATTATTTAATCTATAATATTTATTGTTTTTATTTGTTGCAAATAAGACGCAAACAAGTTCAACATGAAGTTAGTTAAGCATTTAAGAATTTCTCTTTTCGTCAAGATTAATTAAAAAGTTTTGTAGATTTTGTTTCCTTCCCAAATATTTTCTACACTACACAACTATTTCGTCACTGTCAAAAAGTGTGTTTCTTTTACACTGTTTTTATATTTAAACTTTAAAGATTTTAGCAGTTCTTGAAATGTCGTTCTTTTAAAACTTGACAAGATAGAAACTTCGGCAACATTTTTTGCCCGTTTTGTTTGTGGTAGAATTTTTATGTACCAGAGTCCTTGCAAGATATTAGAGCACATTTTTTTTTACTTTTATTATATAATATAAAGGGATTTCTTTTAACACTGAGCTATGAAAAGTGTTTTGTTGCTTTAACAAATTTGTATAAAAAAATAAAGAATGAAGAACATCACTTTTTTTTCTGCTTAATTAAGAATAATAGCAATATCGGTACAGTTAATACCCTCTTGAGATTTCAAGTATACATTACGTTATCTTATTTTCCATCCCATACTTAATCTATTGTGTTACAATAATCTTTTTTTTTGGTCCACGCGTTTATATTTACTGATAATCTTAATTAATATCAGCTGTAATTGTAGATCTGTATCTATTTTCTGCTGTATATGTATATGATATCTGCTGTATCTAATTTTTGACGTTTTATCGCTTCCGGTGGTGGAACTAAAACGAAGGCATTTCTGTAAAATGGAGCTATTATTATTAAGTACGACGTTACCATGACGTAAGTGACTGGGAAACTGAATTACCTTCGTTTAAGTGCATATTTTTTAGTAAATATGGCCGTTTTTAAACGCTTTGGCTTTAAATTTTTCGTTTATTTTTTAAGGTGGTTTGTAGGAAATGACATTTCCATATAGCTGGTCTGATAAAATAGAAAGATGTCATTAATTTATGGTTGAATTGTATTGGATTATTTTTTTTCAAAAATAGTGCTAGATAGGCATACAATACAAAGTTGGTTAATATAAAAAATATATAAGTTCCATAAAGTCAGTGCCGTGCATTTTTTTTTTCACAATTATTTTCTATAAGGTGTCTCCTAGAACGCCATTGGTCTTAATAATTTTAATTTAATTAGATTTAAACTAGGTTCTTTTTATTAGAAATAACACAAAGAAATTTCAAGAAAATCAGTAACGGAGTACTCAAGATAACTACCAAAAAATGTATTTTTTTTAAATTAACATTCTGTATAATAAAATAAAACTATGCATATTCGAACCCATGTTTATAAGAAATATTTTCCAGGTTTTTAATGAATAATCATACACATTTGGCCGTACATTTTTCGAACCCTTTGTATATGAAACCGTTCCCAATTTCTGTCACATATAAAGTTAACCGAGTTGTCCTTGGATCATAACAGTCAGTTCTTTTATCTGAAAAAAAGCAAGCAATAAAATTAGGATTATTATAATTATAATAAATTTGGTTTAAATATTATTTTAAGCTCTGTCTACACATAACGTTTTACATTACGTCTTACCTGTTCAGTCAAAACATGTCAAGTAAAACCTTATGTGTAAACGAAGCCTTATACAGGGTGAGTCTGCAATAAGTACAAATATTTTAGGGGTAGTATATTTCGATCAGACCGCGAAAAAAAAATTTGGATTTTTTTTTTTTAGTTTTAGTTAAAAAACATAATTTCATGATAACATGGCAATATGACTGAATTTACAAAAAAGAAAATCCAGAAAAGGTCCAGTGGTTTTCAAAATTTAAGCAAAAATACATATGTTTTAAATTTTCAAGGTAAAGTAATTCGGTTATTCAAAAAATAGTATAGGGAAAATATGTTTCTTTTATCGAGATCCACCAACCCTGAAAATATTTGCACTCATTTAAGACTCACCCATGAGTCATGATCTATGCATGTAAACTTAAAAGACACTTAAAACGGACCTCGTAAGGAAACTGCAGGTCGCACAACGCTCTATGGAACGAACATGCTGGGAATAATCAAGAGAGACCGTAAAAGGATAGAGTGGATACCACAAAAGACGTTAGTAATAGATGTCATCCACAGAGCCAAATCCCTCAAATGACAATGAGCAGGACACCTGGCAAGAAAAACGGACAATAGATGTACCATAAAAATTACAGCATGGTACCCACGAGGGAATTAAGAGACCTAGAGGAAAACCGAACCTGAGATAGAACCTTGATACGAGCCCTAACAACTATATGTTGGGACAAGGTCATATTTTGGAATTATTGCCCTGGTTTTTCAAAATGACTGAAAAATATATGTTTAATTTTTTAAATATAAATGTAGCCATATATCCTAAACAACTTGGCAATATTTTTATGAATTTGTAAATCAATCCATATTTACAGTAGCGGATTTTGTTCATAAAAGGACAAATTTGCCTGACAACTAAATGTTGGGACAAGTATTTTTAAATAATTAATATCACCATAGGCGGCTTTGCTATAAACTGTTTACTTAAGCATTGACAGCTTGTAAGTGACTCGATACTTTGAGTAGTGAGACTTACTGTAAGTAATTTTGTAGGCAATTGATTTCATCAGTGAGAATGAAGACTAATAATAATTAATATTGTACTTTTCCAAGTAGTATTGAAAAACAAACTATATACATAAAAGGCTCGTTTCGTTGGCCATTGTACATAAAACTATTTACTTAACCAGTGTATAACATAACAATATAAATATAGGTTTAAAATAAGATACGTTACCAAGAAAAAAAGCTTTTTTTTACTGTATAATCTTAAAATAATAGTGAAAGTAGCCTCTCGCAGAGGGACACCCTGTAGCTGTTGTACTTTGAAAAGGATAATCAATATAACTTTTAACATTTATACATAATATAATTTTTTTAGATTAACGACTGTGTATTCCGTATTTATTTTGTACTGTATTTTTTTGTTAAATATACTATAAAACAATTAAATGGAGTTTTTTTTGTAAATCAATAAAATGTGCCCACTTTGGGTGAATCACACACTTACCTAAAAAAATATTATTAATTTTCAATTTTGTTAATTTAATCCAAAGTAATGGTCCGTGGAAAAGCTACAAATCAAAAACTACGCGAAATTATCATTCGTCAATACAGTACGGGAAAAACAATTCGAAAAATTTCTGATGATTTAAGTATTCCAAAAACCACGGTCTTTAATATAATAAAAAAATACGGCGAATCGGCCAATGTAGGCGTTAGAGGTAAAAGTTCGGGAAGGCCAACAGTTGTATCTCAGAGATTTACGAAATTTAGTAAAATTTGCAAGTCTGCGAGAAGAAGTACTCTTCGCATGAAGTAACAGTTAAATGGAATACTGTAACTGGATTAAATATATCAAGAGAATGTTGCCGAAAATATATCCATAAATGCGGTCTGGGGTTTTACAAGGTTTGTGGGGATAATCAATTACCTGAAGATTATTGATACAAATTCTTATTTAGGCCAAAGAAAAACCGCTACTGACAGAATTCAAAAGAAAAATCGCTACAATTGGGCAAAATCTAAATTATCGTGGACACAAAATGATTGGAATAAGATCATATTTAGCGATGAGTATAATTTGATGTTTGTGTTGGAGATCATCGAAAAAGAATAATACGAAATAAAGCAGAAGCCTTTCATAAAGATTGCTTAAAGAGGGTTGTTAAATTTCCTAAGGGGATTATGGTTTGGGGTTGCATGTCAGCAAGAGGTTTGGGCAAATTAAATTTTATAGATGGCACTGTTAACGCCCAAAAATATCAACATATACTTTTGCTAGTGCTCAAGAATTTTTTCCAAACGAAGACTATATTTTTCAACAAGATGGAGCATCGTGCCATTCAGCAAAATCAACTAAAAATTGGTTCGGTAATAATAATATAAAAGTTCTATCCCATCCTGCAAGTAGTCCGGACCTCAATGTTATAGAAACTGTGTGGCATAAAATGAAGCAATATTTAAGAAACCACCCTCAACGCACAATTTTTGATTTGCGGACAAAACTGCAGGAAATTTGGGATAATTTTTCTCCTCAAATGTGCCATCTTTGGTAAATACAATTCCATTATGAGTTCAGGCAGATGTTAAGGCGAAATGTGATGCAACTCCGTATTAAACAAATTTCTTGTGCTGTCCCAATATATAGTTGTCAGCAAATTTGGCTTGATTTTGGCAAAATAAGCTATTATCAAAAGTGATTTGTTTGCAAAGTTATAAAAATATAGTAAAATTGTCTAGATCATATTGTAATGTTTGAATTTAGAATAATAAACAAAATAAATTGAGTCGTTTTAACAAATTACTATTTTTATTGCAAAAAAGACCTTGACCCAACATATAGTTGTTAAGGCTCGTATTAGTAAATTAACAGGGATAACTTGCGCCCGCATAGCCAACAATAGACAACAATGGGCCCATCTACAAAGAGAGTATGTGCGCGAGGCTACACCGGAATTGGAAACGGTTGAATAAGCTGAAAGTGACGATAATGATGGTGAAGACTCATCCTGTATTTACTTACATTAACGTGTTCTGGAGTGGACAGCACGTAAACTATATTGTCAGCAATATCTTCAGTTTCTAATCCAGGCCTGTTCTTGAATCGTTCTGCGCCTTTTGCGCTGAAGTTTGCCTCAATTATTTCGGTTTTGACAAATCCAGGACTAAGACTCTGAAATAATTAATTTTGATTTTAATGCTTATTCACACACATATACAGATATAATGCAAATACAGCAGATACTATAATCTGAAGTATTATTGATTGAATACGTACTGTAATTTTAATCGGTAATTTATTCCTGTTGATCTCTCTTCTTAGACTTTCAGTCAATGCTGTAACAGCGTATTTTGATGCGGGATAAACTGACAATCCAGGGGCTTCTATGGGATAGTGTCCTGTAGTGCTGTTAATATGAATGATATGTCCTTTGATATTGTTAGCTTTCATGCTGGCTATCGCTTCTCGCGTCGCTATGCACAAAGCCAATACGTTTGTATCTAAGTAGAAAAAAAGGATGTTTTAGACTAATTATTTTTGGGTATATATGGGTATACGGTATACTCCGATTTACTTACCTAATGTTTGTCTCCATTTACTTATATCTCCATCGATAAGATTAGTTTCAGGTCCCACACCAGCGTTGTTGATTAGGACATGAATGGGACCTAAAGTTTCAGTGATTTTCTTGAAAGTTGAAATGATTTCATCCTCTTTTGTCAGGTCGGTTTTGAAACTGTAGAGTTTGCCCTTTTCGTTTTTCAGCTCCTTGGCCAGCTCTTCTACGCGCTCCACTCTTCTGGCTAATCCAGCTACCTAAAAATTATCAACATGCCTTTTTATTAATGAAATCTAATAGTGTAATAGGATAAATAACATGATGTCCTAAATTAATTAAAACTAAAAATAAGTTTTAAAATATATTTTATCATAAAATTATAATTTTGACATGAAATTACAAAATTTATATGTAACTTTGTTTAAGTTAAAGAAGTATATTAGATTCTATAAAATTTAAAATCCTATCTGTTTTAGTTTAAAGCTGTTTCCACTGAACATATATAAATAATATATGTTAAATTGTATAAGTTACAAGTTAGTTGGACGACTAACTAAAATTATGCATAAATAATGCTAATACTAAAAAAATCACGCAGTTTATCTGGGCAAAATATATTTAATCGGCCGATTTTTTGATTGTATGTATGCGCAACTAATAGTAGAATGTTAGCGATTACCTTTTTCTAATTTTTTTATTCAAATATCTTCACTTACTATTAAACCTCGCTTGACTAAAGCTTCTGCTGTGGCTCTCCCAATACCTGAAGATGTACCGGTAATGACGGCAACTTTGCCAACAAATCGGTCCAGCGACATTCTGACTGTATTAAAAGATTCTTATTATGTATCTTGAGCCGAGCAAAAACCTACTGATACATGTGGTACCGTTGTTTTAGTTTTATATAGATCTTAGGGAATCGAGTTGTTAAACTGTTTAAAGTATTTTTTAAGTACCGTAAAATGGGGTTACTTGGGACAAATTCACTATAATTTTTTTAGTTATGTGGTAATTTATAAAAGTTTTTGTGAAGACAAAGCAACAATGTATGTGTAGAAAATTTCTTTAATATGTATTTAACCTAAAATGCATCATAAATGGCTCCTAATGTAAGAATATTTAGAAAAAAAAACTAACATATTTACTGTCCCAAGTTTCCCCGCATTGGGGTTAAATGGGACTGTAACGGTTTTATACCGAAAATGCATGTTAAACTACTCACGGGTTACTTGGGACAGCAGAAAAATTAAAAAAATACACTAACACACATCTTGAGTTGAATTTTTTTTTCTGAGATAATTATTTAGAGGAAAGAAAAACTCGATTTAGCGTAACTTATTAAAAATATTTATTTATTCATTAAAAAATGTAAAAATTCTTCAATAAAGATAATAGGACAAAAGGAACTAAAAAGACATTTTGTAAACACAAAAAATAGATCTATTGCATTCTTCTTATTGTAGCCAATCAGTATTTTCTAATTCATTAAATGCATGGCGGCCTCTAGTAATGCACACGTTCTCTGCTTTTAGCACTCTCACAATTTTATCCTCTGTGATATCATAATCATCAGCTAAATCTGGGAACACAAAATGTTTGTTGTTTTTCGTAGATTTTCTCATAAAACTGCCTCTGATAAATTCGTCTTCTTCTTCTTTTTTCAAAACTGTACGTCTTCCATATCTTTCTTAATTCTGATTTTTACATCTTCTCTGTAAAGTTGATTTGGTTAGCTTCCATTTGTCTGCCGCTGTTCTATAGGACATTCCAGATTGTACATCTTCTATGGCACTTTCCATATTTTTTTCTTCAAAGTCATGATATTTTTTAGAGCCTACTTTGCGAATATATTTTCTTGGCATGTAGAGCACTGAAAACAAAATCGATTAAATAATATGGGGTAACTTGGGTCAAGGGCTAACTTGGGAAAATTGTTGACCCAAGTTACCCCAAACCATGACTTTTTTTAAAAAAATATATTTTACAATCTAAAAAATTATCTAAACGCGGGCAATGACATTGGTATTATTTATGAAACATAAAAAACTATCTAAGAAATGTAATTGAACTTACCTGTTTACTTTTTGACTGCCTCTTACAGATAACGTTTTCGACCACTTATTTTTAGTTTGCTTCCCACCACCCACTTATTTTTTTTATATAAGTAAAATACTATCACTTTATATCGAATTCGTTTAATTAAATCATCAACACATTGTTCTTTAACGAACAAAAACATTAAATTAAGGTTATATTTATATTTGCGTTGTTCCCGCCAGTTAAATTAGAAAAACCGAAGTTGCGTCCCAAGTAACCCCGACGTCCCAAGTAACCCCATTTTACGGTACTGATATTAGACATAGATTGACGTTCGTTAACCTTATATTGGGAGTCTATTACAGATTAGATTGTTGTAAATGTTAATGATATGCAATCTCTGAATTACTATTGTAAACCTATTTTTCAGCATGATTATTCAAAAAAAAATATCATTTTTTTATATCTAATTATATCTGATATATATCTGAATATTTTGGGTACGCAACACCACTCTCAAAAATGAATCGTTTTAGGTAACCAAATAGTAAGGCTTTAATTTGGATTTTATTTTATTAAAAATAACTAGAACCTAAATACTCCCTCTACTAAAATATATTGTCTTTATATAGTACGTTTTATTTTTGTAGTTATTGAAATCAGAAGACTCAATATGGCGCTGACAATTCCAGTCGCAAGCTGCAAGAGCACGGATTTCATGTGCATAAAAAACAAAAAACTTGACTTATTGTGCGCAATCCAGAAGGGTTAGATGATGACGGCATATTCCATGCGCATCTGAAGACATAGAGGACATTTTACCACTATGATAGGGTGACCACAGGATATTATTTTTTTTATTTTTCCCAAAAAATAGAGAAAATATTGAACACTTCTTACCACAATCTAGTAATTTATTATTTTTTTTAATTCACTATTTCTATATTTTGTAAAAAAGACGCAAACAAGTTAACATGAAGTTAGTAAAGCATTTAAAGGTGTTATTTCTTAGCGACGTCTGGCATATGCGGCCCGCCGCACTCTGGTTCGTTTTAACCTAGAGTTACTATTTTCCTTAAGATTAATTAATTAAGTTTTGTATTTTTTTTTTTCTTTCTAATATTTATTTTCGATGAGTATTTTGTCTCCATCGTCTCTTTTACGCCGTTTTTATATCTAAACTTTAAAGATTTTAACAGTTCTTAAAATTCCCTTTTTTTAAAAACATGACACGATAAAAATTTCGGTAGCATTTTTTATGGATTTTTTTTATCGTACAATTTTTATTTTTATCAGAGTCGTTATAAGAAATTAAGCACAATATTTTTTTTATTTTTATACTATACTATAAAAGGCCTATGGCGCGCTCAGATGACTCGTGTACTTGGCAAACATTTTTATTGGTATACAGGGTCCGGCAATAGTGCGTCGGGCATCTATACAGAATTTCTGAGTTATTTATTATAGGAACTACCCTATATGTCAATAAAAAATGTTTGTCAAGTACACGAATCGTCAGAGAGTCTACCTTTACTTCTATACACTATACTTTTACTAGGAGCCAATATTTTGACAGTTCAAAATTTGCATGGCATTTCCTATATTTCCACCGACGATGCACCACCCGGTATCATCATCATCATCATTTAGCTCATTCCGTCCACTGCTGAACAAAAGCCTCCCTTAACTCTAGCCATTTCTTTCTATTTTGTGCAAATTGAATCCAGTTTCCAGCCACTCTTAATATCATCTGCCCATTGACTATGAGGTCGTCCTCTGCTTCTATAGGCCTCGTATCTTGGTCTCCATTCCACAAGTCTTTTTGTCCACCGTCCATCTGTTATCCTAGCCACATGTCCTGCCCAATTCCATTTAAGATGTAAGACATATATCACCGCATCTCTTACTCCTGTTCGATTTCGTATGGTATGATTGGGTATTTCATCTCTAAGTTTGACTCCCAACATGGACCTTTCCATTTTCCGATGCATGACCTGTATTCTATGTATGTTCTTTTTTTGTCAAAGTAAGTGTTTCAGCTCCATACGTGAGGACAGGCAAGACACACTGGTTAAAGACCTTTCTTTTTAAACACATTGGAAGATCAGATCTCAGTATATGGTTTAGTTTACCGAATGCCGCCCACGACAAACCTATTCTTGGTAGAATTTCGTGTGTCTGATTATCTCTTCTAATACCGATCTCATGTCCTAAGTATTTATATACAGGGTGTTTCAAAACAAATGCGAAAAACTTCAGGGGGTGATTCCTTGTTTAAAACAAAGGGTAGTTTGCTTCATAAACGTTGGGTCAAAAGTCAACCATTAGGGAGATATTGCGGTACAAAGATGGCGGAAAAATAATGTTTTTATTTTTTATCTTGAAAACGAAAAGAGATAGACTAATGAAATTTTATGGAAGCATTACTGTTATGAAAACACACTTTCTGGTAATTTTTTCACTTTTTTAAAATGAGTGAAAGGGGTTGAAATAAACTACCCCTATCATTTTTGTTAACGAAATTTAAATTAAATAAAATGTAAAGCATTACATGTCAGGACAAAAAAAATTTTCTGATAAAGAATCTAGTGGGCTGCTGTAATTTTTTTAGGAAAAAATCTAGTCGGCCGCTGTTACTTTTTAGGATGTTCCTAATATTATTTTATTTTACATTACTCTACTGCAATACGTTATTATCTAGATGATTATTATTATCGTTATTATCACTAGATTCTTAATCTAAAAATGTTTTTTGTCCTGACATGTAATGCTTACCTTTTATTTTTTAATTTCAAATCGGTGAGTTTTATCAAAAAAACACCAGAGATAAAAAAGTTTCTAAACAAACTGAGCTATCCAAATTAATTTTTCTGCATGTGTTTGATAAGATTTTTCTTTAAATTTCGTTAACAAGAATGATAGGGGTAGTTTATTTCAACCCCTTCCACTCATTTTAAAAAAGTGAAAAAATTACCAGAAAGCGTGTTTTCATAACAGTAATGCTTCCATAAAATTTCATTAGTCTATCTCTTTTCGTTTTCAAGATAAAAAATAAAAACATGATTTTTCCGCCATCTTTGTACCGCGATATGTATATGTACTTGTTCCAAAAGTATGTTATTAATGTTTAATTTTCCACTCCGTCTTTGATACGTTAATTTTCAAACCGACTTTTTCCGAAGCATCATTTAGTATATCCAGCATATTCTGTGCTTCCTGTATTAAAGTCTGTTATTAAAAACATATCATCTGCAAAACAGAGATCAATTTGCCATCGATGTTAATTCCTGTTGAAGTACCCGGTACCCCCTGACCCGGTATATATCTAAAAAAAAATTAGAAATATCTTATAGAGGTCGTGACAATTTTTTTCTGCCTAATTATGAATAATAGCAGTATACAGTTAATACCCTCTTGAGAGTTCAAATATAGATTACGTTATCTTATTTTCCATCGCATAATTAATCTAATGAGTTACGATCATAAATAGTCCACGCGTTTTTATTTACTGATAATCTTAATTAATATCAACTGTAATTGTATATTCTGCCGTGTCTATTTTTTACTCCGTAAAAAAACTACTTAATTATCAGCAGAAAGTTGCATGATGGCCAACCAGTCCCCTGCGACTTTTATCGCTTCTGCTGGTAGAAATAAAACGAAGGCATTTTTGTGAAATGGAGCTATTATTATTAAATACGACGTCGCCATGACGTAAATGACTGGGAAACTGAATTACCTTCGTTTAAGTGCATTTCTTTTTTTAGTAAATTCCCCTTTT